TAAAGCTTATAATACCAGTATGTCGGCTTTCCGCATGCATTTTTTATATTATATATGAGCTTGCATTTTTCCAGCTTCTCAATTTTCTTCTTTCTTTTATCCACTCGTTTGCTTGCTTTAAATTTAATACAGTAGTTTTTCTAAAGCATATTTGTAAATAAAAAATTTTCCACAAAAGCTTTTAAGACATTTCATTCAATCGGTTTCATGTAATATATGGACGGTTGACAATTTGGTTTTAAGCTACCATAAAGTAATTGATTGACGGCCTGTGCTCAATATTTTCAGATTATTAAAAAATATTGCGAAATTAATAGAGAACTTTTTGCATTTACTCACACTTTTTTGAGGTGAAGGTGAAGCTTTTGAGCTTTTGTCTGTGATTTTAACTGTCGAGAACTACTATTTTGTTTAGAAGCGGTGGGAAAAATCTTTTCTGGAACGTATGTGGCTTCAGCTAGTGCTACTAAATTTTACCCACGGTGCAATATTTTTTTTTAAATATTTCCTTTTATTGTTCACGGCTTCATTGGCTGGCAACTTTTTAACCTCTTCTTTTAAAGCTTTGTTCTTACATATTCTACAATGCTACGGATCACAAAACTCTTTTTGAGACTTCTATAGTTATTTTTATGACAGGTGTATTTTGTAGTTTGTTTTCATTATTGGTGCAGTGTGTGTGTGCTTTAAGTGTGCTTTATAGTACCAAAAGCTCAAAAGCTACTATATTAAAAGCGGTTGTATAGTAAAACATTGTATACTATTTCAATAAAGTTCGTTTGAAATAAAAAAATTGTGCAAAGCAAAATTTAAAGCATTGGTTTCGATTATCTGAAAATAATATAAAAATGTTCAACTATGTCAATCTATAGTAAAAGCTCGAAATATCTAGCTTTCATTCTTTCTTCCTAGCCTATTTAAAATTTCTTCCTTGTAAGCTTTCCTCAGTAATTCTATATGACCTTTCCTTTCGCAAATTTGTTTTAAATACACTTCAAAAAGTTTCAATATTTTTTTGCCAATTCCTGTACTGCTACCGTATGTAATTATTATTTTTTTTCAATTATATATGTATATAAATATAATTTTTTTAAATATTTTTTTCTGAACTTGTTTTCAGTAGAACTGTTACTTAAAAGTTCACTACCTTCGTTAAATGTTTTAAAATATTATAGACGTCATAAATTTTGGTAAATATGTATTAATATGTAAGTACTTTAGTATACCGTTTTAACGGTCATTTTATATTATCAATATTTTTGCGCAAAAAACGTCAAACTTTCAAAACTTCAAAATTCTAACGTAACGCTACATTTTTTAACTTTAAAATCTATTTTTTGGTATATAATGTGTTTTTGTTTT